CGGCCCCCGCCCCAGCCGAAGGCCAACTTCCTAGCGCGCACCCAGGGGAGGCAGGGAATCTCCCGTCCGGGTCTGGGCCAGCGGAATCCGAGCAGGCTGGACTGCTGGACCGGCCCTTTGCTTCGGGGTGGAACACGCTGGCCCCGCTTGCCAACTGGGGCTCGCTTGAAAGGCTGCACAGAGCCCCCTGCCCCCAGCTCCTTTTATCCCCCCTTCGCGGGTCCACTCCCTTCCCCGCACTGGTTTTTAAATCCGCCTCCAGCCCAGTCTCCCGAATTGCGAGAGAGAGGGAACGAACGGGACCCGGCCATGTGCCCAATGGATCGCTCGGGTCAAGGCGCCTGCGTTCACAACGAGGAGTCCGCTGCGTTTGGTCAGACAGGGCCAGGCTGCGCGTCAAACCTCCCCAAAATCCCGCTGTAGCTTCGGCCCAGTTACTGACGATCGAGCCCGCTTTTTGGTTACGTCTGGATACAATCTCCCCCGGAGACACGGCTAGATGTACGGAAATTGCACGCAATTCTTCGCGTGTTTATGGAGAGATTTGTACCCACAGGTAATAGAAGACCTGTCCCGAGGGATGCCATCCCCTATCCAGGTTATGCCCATTCTCTTTCCTCGTAGCCCCCTCTCCATGCGGACCAATGGACGCGCGTTTACAAATCTCGATCTGTTTGTTTGTTTTTCCTGCGCATCTCTGGCCGTGAACTTGCCCGTGCGCGTAGGGGCCGATCGTTCTGGCCGAGTCGCTGAACTTGCCCGCGCTCCCAGCCTCTTCCCTCGGATCAGTTCGTTCCGGTGGAGTCATTTCCCGGCTCTGGGCATTGCAGACTGGGGGACTGCAGGACTCGGGCATTTAATCCCGAACCTGCTGACTTGTGGCTTTGGCTGGATCTGGCTACTTTACCAGCAGGGATCCCCTCCAGCTAGCCCGCTCCAGGGGAGGAGAAACGCTCCATCCCTTGGGTTTTCGGAGCCTCGGAATTTCCCGCTTTGCAACAGCAGCGCCCCATATCCTTTCTCCCCTCCAAATAAAGCCCTTTTGGCTTTGGCAGGCTAGCCAGAGAGGCCGAGGGAGCGCACCGGAGCGATCCGGGCCGCCGCGTTCCATCGCCGGCTCTTCCAGCGCCTTCGTTCCGCTTTGCCGCGGTGGGGCGGGCGGGTGTTTGCGTTTGGCTGGGTTACATAAGGGCCAAGGTCTCCCGGAAATCTTTGCTTCCCAGCGAACCCTGGCTGCCTCCGGACGCAGCCGGAGCAAGGCTGGACAATTTCGGCCCCGGCCCCCTTTCCTTTGCGTTTGCCGTAGATTGTTCACCCCCCACCTTTGCTGGGGTAGGGACCAGCCCCGGGGCTCTTTTTTTAATTGTTCTTGGCGGACAATAGTTTTTGCTGCCCGTGAGAAGCGGCGCCCGACGCCGATTTCCTCGGCCTGGGAGTTGCGCGCCCGGTTTTCTCTTTATTCCAGGCGGCAAAACCGGGGCTGCTCCGGGCAGTGGTCTCCGGGCAGAATTGCTTGAAAGGCCACGGAACAACCAGGCACTGCCCTCGAAGAGAGTGTGAGGAGAGTTTGGTCCCGGAGTCGCTCCCCGCAGGCGGTTCCCTTCGATCCCGATTCGAATTCGAGGGCCCAGCTGGCTAGGGGCGGGCCTCGCTTAACACCGGCGGCGCGAACAGCGGAGGCCTCCGTGCGGGCTCTGATTTCCCCGCTGTCCTGGGGATCCCGTGTGACATTTACGCCCTTCAGGTGCCCCATATGCCACCCACTCACTCAAGATCAGAGAAAGGGGCATTTCCCTGTTTCCCCGCAGGAGGAAACTCCCCCGACCCCGCCATCGCCCAGTGCACTTTCCTCCCTCCGGCTAGCGCAAAAGGATATTGCGCCCCAGAGGCAGGGAGAGCGGGTGGGTGGAAATTGGTTTTGGGGGCGAAGAAAATGGAGGCATCGAGATCTTTGCCAGCGGATTGCGATGCAATAGCGGCAGGAGACACCGCTCAATAAACCGGAGAATCTCGACCGGCCCACGCAGACGGACAAACAATTTCTACCCACCGAAAGAGCATTCGAATTGTCCCCGGGTGTCTCCTGGCGCACAGATCCGTGTAAACGTTTTTTACACCCGGATCCATGGAGAGAGAGGGGTGATTTGAAGTGGAGACGCGTGGGGAGATTTTGTAGCGATAGTCCCGTATTTGTTCGTCGATGCGTCGTTTATTGGGCAACATTAATCGATCGCTACAGAATGTGGCGTCTGCATACGCACCCACCGCCGCTGCGCCTGTGGTGTCTGGGTTTATGCGGAACCAATTCTAAGTCCAGAAGAAATCAACACCGATGAAACGCGTCCTTTTTTTCAAGGGGCGCTGTAGGAGGCGTGTGGGGTGGTAGCCCTATATTTGTGGGTCCACGTTGCAAATGCAAAACCGATTGGTTTGGTTTGTGAAGTCTCATGTGTTGTGTGTAAACGTGACCTGTCCTGGTCTGAACTTGATCCCGAGCCGGATCGGGTTTAGCTCATCCGAGGGCGAGTCCTCTGTCCTAACCGTCCCTTTGCATTTCGGAAACGTGCCCCGGAATTTTGGGGAGCAGCGATTTCCGCCTCCTTGCGCCCTG